AGAGGGGGTGGGAAGGTTGGAATGTCAGCGTGGGCTCTCCAATGCTGGGTCTTGAGGGCCCAATCCAGGCAAGCCGAGACTGGACCCTAGGCCTTAGTTCACCACCCCTGCTTTAGGAGATTGTTGTTTTGGTGCATGTGCAAAGTAAGGTATCTTCACACTATACTGTATCTCCAGCACAGCAATGGTTTAACATAGCACAAAAGTCTTCAGTCTTTTCTAAACTTCTTGCTAGAATATGAGGCTTCACTGATGTCAATGAAAGTGTCTGATTGTGAGGTTTTCTATGTGACTGTTTGTATATTAATGGCCAGTCTTGCAAAGGCAAAATATTCATGCTATTCAGTGACTGTTTTGCTTACTTTTGACATATTTAAATTACATTTTAAACATAATATTCTGCAGAAAACTTGGAAGATGTTTTAAAATACTTGGTTTTACTTATTTTATTTCATTGTATATGTATAAATACATTAAAATATACAATCATTAGATGCTAGTGTATTTGCATAAAAAGCAGATTACAGGTTGCACCTCTAAAATCTGGGATTCTCTTGTCCAGCATGACCACAGCTGTTCTAGGATCAGAGAGTCTGGGTACGCTGCAGGGGAGTGGGAGCCTGAGAGCCTGGGTGCAGCTCAGCTGGGCTGCTGGTGGGGGACAGGAAGCTGGCGTCCGGATTAGCTAGGCTGCAAAGGGAGTGGGTAGGGAGCTGGCATGAAGCTCAGTTGGGCTACAGGAGAGGGTGCATGGCTCAGCTGAGCTGCCAGGGAGCACCAGTTGCTGGTGCATGGCTCAGCTGGGTTGGGAAGAGGCCAGGAGCTGACATGTGGCTCAGCTGGGCTGAAGGGAGAGCCAGGAAATGGAGAGAGGTACATCAGGGGCCCCCCTGAAATTACCTCCCCTTGTTGGGAAAAATCCTTCATCCAGAGTGAGTCAGATCCCAAGGATGCTGGACCAGGGAGGTCCAACCTGTATTTAAATACAATCTACATTCTACACCTACATTATTTTTTTAAATTACCATTAATTTTCAAGTCAAACATTTCAGAAATGTTCAAAATACTGTATAAACATATCTTCTAATTTTTAGAACATGATCATATATATAAATTCTGCTTTAAAAAAGCACAGTTCATAACATTTTGTTGTTTGTTTTATAGCATCTATTTAAAACTCAGGCAGTGATTTGGGTCCAGTGAAGTAGGTGCTATACAAATTGTTGATAAATCAGAGTGTCTGTCTGATAGAGCTTCCATGTGATGGGTTTTGTCATGAATGGATTCCACAAATAAATGGGGAATGAAGAATGGAGACAGATGAGAAAAACACATGAATGCCATATAGAAAATTTAAGAATTCCATCCTCGTGAAAAAATAAATATTTTTAAAGTTTGCTTTTCCATTAGACAAAATAATTTTCACTCTTAATGTTTTTTATTGAATTATAGCTACATTATGTCAAATGGGTATAAGCCCGCCCCTCTAGATCTTTCTGAAGTGAAATTGTTACCTTCTCAAGAAGTTTTAGTTGATAAACTTGCAGAGAATGCACATAACGTCTGGGCAAAAGACAGAATAAAACAAGGATGGACCTATGGCATTCAGCAGGTAAGAACCAGTTTATTAGAGACATTTGAAAGATGTAAATCTGCTGATTTTGAGCATAAGAACAAGCATACTGGATCAAATCAAAGGTCCATAGCCCAGTATCCTGTCTTCCAACAGTGGACAATGCCAGGTGTCCTAAAGGGAATGAACAGAACTGGTAATCATCAAGTGATCCATCCCCTGTCATCTATTCCTAGTGTCAGGCAAACAGAGACTAGGGACACCATTCTTGACATCCTGGCTAATAGCCATTGATGGACCTATTCTCCATGAATTTATCTAGTCCTTTTATAATCTCGAATGTCACAAGATCCTCTTGCAACAAGTTCCACAAGTTGACTGTTGATTGTATGCAGAAGTACTTCCTTTATTTTAAATATGATGCCTGTTAACTTCATTTGGTGACCCTTAGTTCTTGTGTTGTGAGAACAAGTAAATAATATCTCATTATTTACTTTCTCCACGCCAGTCATGATTTTAAAAACCTCAGTCAAACACACTCACCCCTTAATCGTCTCTATTTTCCAAGCTGAAAAGTCCCAGTTTACTAATCTTCTCATATGGAAGTCGTTCCATACACCTAATCATCTTTGTTGCCTTTTACCGAACCTTTTCCAATTCAAACATATATTTTTCTATTGAGATTGGGCAACCACATCTACATGCAGTATTCAAGATGTGGGCATATCATGGATTTATATAGAGGCAATATGATATTTTCTGTCTTCTTATCTATCCCTTTCTTAATAATTCTCAACGTTCTATTCACTTTTTTGACTGCTGGTGCATATTGTATGGATTTTTTCAGAGAACTATCTATAATGACTCTAATATCATTTTTGAATGGCAATTTACACCCCATCATTTTATATATATATAGTTGGGATTTTCCAATGTGCATTACTTTTCATTTATCAATATTGAATTGGATTTGCCATTTGTTGCACAGGCACCCAGTTTCACGAGACCCATTTGTAGCTCTTTATAATCTGCTTGAGACTTACCTACCTTGAGTAAAAAATACATTTTTTCTGAATCATTGATATGAAGAAAATACGATATAAGGAAAATATAAACACAGATGGTACTAGGTATCTAAGGCCTGAAAAACTTTAATAGGCTTTGACCATGCAATTGGTCAATGGAATCATGGCTGGAGAGAAATTAGTTTTTTCTTTTAAACTAGTAACAATATAGAAGTAGTGTTTCAATTATAAAATTTCCCAGGAAAATATTTTCTAAAATTTCCCTCGTTCTTGTTTTGTGCACAATAGCAATTGTTGATTTGCATGTTTAATTATTTTATTTACTAGCTTTTATATTTACAAAAATGCATTTATTTCTGATATAACTATAACTTTTATGTTGAGAGCGGGGAAAAAGACCCCCAGGTTCTATTTTATTCAGAAAAGAAAGTATAAATTAATAGTGGTATACATGTTGTGTGATGTTTAAAACGCAATATCCTTTACATATTCTTGTGACTTCTTTTTAGGATCTTAAGAACAAACGAAATCCTCGACTGGTGCCATATGCATTATTAGATGAACGTACTAAGAAATCAAATAGAGACAGTCTTCGTGAAGCTGTGAGGACTTTTGCTGGTTATGGATATAATATTGAGCCACCAGACCAAGAACTAAGTAAGTCTAGTGAATATTAATTTTTCCTCAAATAGTATTCCTATGGGTGCTCCACTTCAGGTAGTACATACATCTTTGATTAGAGATTTTCATTAGCACTGCCTGTACAGTTTGTGTACACTCTCCAGATATCTTTGTGCTACACTCCAAAAATATATAGAACCATTTTATGGACTGAGATTGAGAGCATCTAGTACATGCTTGTTTTCAGATTATAATTAAACTTTAGTGTAGTGGCTTAATTTAGTTAATGTTATGATTTAGATGATTTGTTTATTTGTCTGAGGTATTTTTCTTCCTCTCTCCACTTCCCTTGCTTCTACCAGAAGGACTCTTGTTAGGGGGTTGTTGTTGCTCTGGTATATCAGGACATCCAGGCTTCAAGCACTGCCTCTCCTATTAAAATCCATCCTATTTTTTAGCAATGACATCCTCAGCTCTTCTACAGTTTAGAAGACATGTATGTATCTAATAACAATAAGATTTCCATATCTTTTAAAAGCACATCTATTAAAAACAGGGAAGTCAAATTTAGATTCCTGATGATAGATTCCTCTGTGCTACTATTAGTACTTAAACTGCTATCCCAGACTGCCACGCACTATAAGCCATCAATGCTTTTAGATTGACATTAGACATGTTCCACTGAAGTAATCAGGGTCCCTGGTACCAGTGGCATCTTCCAGGAAGGTTCTACTGACACAGTCTGCATCCTCAGTACTCCTGCTGATTGCAGAGTCTTTAACTTTGGCTCAGGCACACTCAGTTCTGCCTCAGATCAGATACTCAAAAAGACCTGGTTGTTTCAGATGAGCTGGAGGCATTATTGCTAATGGGTACTGAATTTTTGGTGGTACCCAGATCTGCTGAGATCTTGAGATCTTTCTCAAGTACTAGAGATATACAAACCATATCAGGCAGGCAGTTATCATTACCTCTGTTGTTCACCCCAGCTCTGGACAATGCTAAGGATTATACCTTTGATTTTCAGAGCTCTGTCCGTGGATCTCTTATCTACTACAGAAATGACATCTTCTCCGTCATTTATCCAGGAAGAAAATTTCCAAGGAAGAAATAATCTTAGGCCCATCTCACTGATTTGATCAGCAGTAGATGCTCCCTCTTCCATGCTATGTCCTCCTCAGTGGGCATACTGGGATTTATGGCTGTTTATCCCCAGTAGTTCTTGAGAGCTTTGAGACACTCCCATGGGGAGTATATAAAAAAAAGATAACGACCCATTCCATCCCTTCCTCTCAGCAGCTTGAACCTCAGGAGGAAACTTTGTGGAGCAAGAGGCCAGAGTGGACAAGCAGGTGACACTTCAAACAAATATCTCATCATCATGGCCAGATGAGGTTGTAATGCTTGTACCACTTATTTTGGGAGAGAACTTCAAGTAAATTTTTAATTAAAAAAAAGCTTAACACTGAATCACTCAAAATTCCTTTTAGAGAAGGTCTAAGAGTCACAGCATAACATTTTGGACAACTTCTGCAGAAGTAGTGTTACCAATGAATGAGGCTGTACTGGTACCTCATGAGATTCTCTGGCAAACTCCTGCCATGGCAACTCATGTGTGTAAATGAGCAGACACAAAGTTTTATGTTCTAACTAAGAATTCAATGTTTGTGTTCTCCCACCCACAACCAAATACTTTAGTTGTGAAAGTGGTCAGTGGGTATAGCAGACAGCACAGTGCAAAATCTGTGCCTTATGATAAGGATCAAAGTGACTTGATTTTATAAAAGTTACACTTTTGCAGCTCTGCAATTGAGGATCATAAATTACCAGGCTCTGCTGACATAATACAACTACACCAATGATGGTAAATTCAACACCTTTATTGAACACCTTCCTGACAAATACCAGGAACAGTTAAAGGCAATTATAAATGAAGGTCAGCTCTTAGAGAGGACCTCATAAAAAGCCTTCCTAAGTGTACCCAAGTCTTTGGCTCAGTCAATCACCACTACCATCATATACCAAGCATCTCGTCTGTCTCTGCATGGCTTTTGTATGAAAGTCCAAAATACTATGGAAGACTTCCCATTTGAATCCACAGGCAAATTCTTACATACCCTAAAAGGTTTGAAGGTCACCCTAACATTTCTCAGAATATAGATACCTACAAATTAAAAGAAAATTTAGTAAATCTCAGTCCATTAATAGATTCAACAAATAGATTTGGAGGTTATAGTATCAGGTTGCTCCATCCATTTTACCTCTTTCCTGCCATCCCATCTCCCTCCCCAACTCACCAATATTGTCTGAGACAGGAAGTCCATTCTCTCTAAATCATACGGCCTCAGAACCAGGTCTGGTCTGGCACAGAGGTAAGGGTTTCTGTTTCAAGAATGTACTAATTCCAGAACAGAATGAGGGATATTGGATTTGAAATATCTTGAACATATTTGTAAATTCAGGATAGGGACTCTTATAGCTACAGTTGCATTACTAGATTCCAGGGATTTTGGTTCTCATCCTTCAACATTCAGAATGCATATTTTCACATCAAAATTCATACCTCTCACAAGACATTTCCCCGCTTTACAATTGGTCAGGATCACTTTAGGCACTGAAATGCTTCTCTTTGGCCTGTCCTCTTTCTTCAAGGTATTCTCCAAGGTTCTGAAAATAGTAACCATCTACTTTTACTAACTTTTACTATTACTCTGAAGATAATCATATTTCCATACCTACATGATTGTTCTGGAAAGGCTAATCTAGCAATGAAGTTTGTTCTGCAGAAAAGCTAGATATGTCTCTGTTCAACAGGTTAGGTCTTTAAATCAGTATCAAAAAGTCTACTTTAGCCCCAGTTCAACAGGTGGATTCTATAAGGGCCTCTCTGGATGCCATAGCAGCCAGAGCTTGCCTTCCTTTGGAGAGGTGTACAACACTGACAAAATTCAGATAAATCCATGGACACCTAGAAGAAGGTTCACATGGAAGGTTAAATCTGCAATACTTTTAGGGGTTATACAAAGCTGATTATATCCTGAACCAATATAATCTAGTTAGGATGGTTTTTATTGCTCATCAGGTTCTGGGCTCACTCAGTTAGTGGAAAGACCAATCCAAATTATATGCAGGAATTCCTTTTCTCCAGTGTCCTCCATGTGTCACAGTAATTTTGGATATATCTCTTGGAGGGTGGAGAGTGCACCTAGGCACATTGAACACAAAGTATTACGGGTAAATTATCTGCCCAAGAAGTTTAAAAGCAGTCAAGAATATTTTTCTTCTGTTCATTGTGGGCCAATTTATAAAAATGATGGTGGACAACATATCCTGCATGTTTTACATACGTCACCGGGGAAGGAGAGATTCCACTTTCTCCTTCTGTCAAAGCAATATATTGAACTGGAGTGCAGCCAATCACATCCTCATGTCAGCATTTGCTTTCCAGGCATTCAGAACATCATGGTTGATAATTAAAGCAGGCACGTCTCCCAAGATTATGAATGAGAATACTACACTTGCACTCTCAGACACATATTTCTAACTTGGAAGTTCCCCAAAGTGGACCTCTCTGCGGTTGCTGCCAACAAAACAATCGCAGAGAAACAGTGCAAGAAATTCTTCTTAAAGAGAGGACTAGGTCACCAGTTTCTAGAGCACTAAGGAAATGAGGAAAAACTTTTTTCAATCAGGGCAAAAGACTCACTGGAAAATCAGTCAAGGGGGCCAGAAAAAAAAGAGGCAGACACTTCACTCACAGGGACATCAGGGCTCTGCTCATGCTCCAGCCCCACAGTCGGGGAGGGCTGGAGGTACTCATTGCTTCCCTCAGAAGCAGAGCGAGCCAGTGATTGTGCTCTAGGTCCACAGACTGGTGCCAAGGCTCAGAGACTTGCTGTGGGATGGAGCACAAATTCCAGGCACAGGCGAAAGCCCCAAGCATCTTCATCGGCCAGATCAAAGCTAGCTGGGGACCATATCTACCTCATAGGACAATAGATTCCCCATCCTGCTATACAGGTTGTGTTTCTTACACTCTGGAGAGACAGCTTTCTCCATGCTATTATTCCTGTAACTGTAGCAATACACTAATATTTAGTAATGTGCTCCACTGAATTATGTACAATTTATAGCAGCAGTCTTGCACAAATGTAAGATGTCTGTAAATGAGGTTTACAGGATCTTTCGAAAAAAGCCTGCCATTTTTGAAAGAACCACGTCTAGACTGCTGTTTTACTTTTGAAATGGAGCTTTTTTGAAAGAGTGCCATTACATCAATATGCAAATCCAGCACAGGATATTTAAATCCTCGTTTCATTTGCAATTTCAAAGTGTCTAATTTACATCCCTCTGTCGAAAGAGGGATGTATTTTAGACACAGCCTCAGAGACTAACAAAACATGTAGATGAAGAAGTGGATTGTGCCCATGAAAGCTCATGATGCCATCTGCATATTTTGTTAGTCTTTAAGATGCTGCAAGACCATTACCCACCAAAGTTTCTTAAACAAAACTTAAACCTCAGTTGTAGGACTAACATTTGTAATTCTGACAAGCTTTAATTCTGTACTAAATTGTAGATCATTTAGCTTTATCATGCTCAATGTCTCTGTTATTAATATTTACAGGAAGAATGTATAAAGCTTGTGTGTATGCTTCTTTGTCTCACTAATATCGTGGGACCGACACAACTACAACAATATTGCAAACACAAACATCTTGTCATTTAAGAAAGAACAGGATTCTGCTCCAGATCCACATTATAAACAGAGTGGGCCAACAGAATTGCTGAGCCCTGGGCAAGGTAGGGGAGCTGGCATCAGGCTCTCAGAAGGTGCAGGGGCCTTAGATAGGAGGAGTGTGGCTGGAGATAGCCTTCCAGAACCACCCCTCCAGCACTGCCTAGAGCATGCTGTCCAATTCACAGGGCCTGAGTCTAGTGTTCCCTATAATCTGGGCTCTTGTGAGGTCACCCAGGCATGATTCAGAGGCTGCCCAGTTTATTAGCAGAATGGCCACAGCTAGGTTTTTTGTTTCTACTGGTGGTACACATTTGCAAATGCCTCAATGCATATAAATAAATTTATTCTTCACATGGATGGAAAAGATTATAGGGAACATTGCTTGGGGCTCTCAGCTGCCACCACTTCCACAGTGGGGGCAGCCAAAATCACTGGGCCCTTTTGAGTCACTGGGCCCCAGAGCAATTCCCCATTTTGTCAGCAGGCCTGATTTTAAATATGAAGAAACGTAGTACCATTCTCAGCCATGTCCATAATAAATAAATATTTCTTTCGGAACTGAAACTGATGGAAAGTAAAGCATTGGCATTTTTCAGTTGTATTTTTGTCTAATTTTTTTCTTCTCTTTCTCACAGCTGACCAAACTATGGAAAAAATCAGCATTGACAAGATACGTTGTTTCAGAATAGAACAGTCTTATGCAGTGTCGTCTGGAAAGTGGTACTTTGAATTTGAAGCTGTGACAGGTGGAGATATGCGTGTTGGCTGGGCAAGGCCAGGCTGCCGGCCAGACATAGAATTGGGGGCTGATGACCAAGCATTTGTATTTGAAGGCAGCAGAGTTAGTAAATTTATTTACAAAATTTAATGTTAATGAGTTTGTTTGTAGTTGTGAATAGCCTACACAGGGACATCATGTTTTATTCTCTGAGCTACAAAGGATTTTCATACTCTACATTATCCATATGTTCTAATTCTACATATTGGGACTAATTCTACAGAGATAGAGACTGACAGAATTAACAAAATGCAGCTCAGTTAGAGAAGTCAGTTCTTTTCAAGCAAATGTCACTTGACAATAAAACATAATGGATACTTAGGACATTAATATTCACAGTGTGCTCTCTCTCCCCCCCCCCCTTTTTCTTAATCTTGATTCCTTACAGAAGAAGGTGGAAGACAATGATATTGTAGATAAGGCTTGGAGTCCCTTTGATCTGGACTCTCATCCCGTTTCTGATCTGCTGTGTGTCTGTATGCAAATCATTTAATGTCCATGTTCCACAGTGTCTCCATATAAAAATAAGGACTATCCCACAGTACTTCAAAGGAAGTTTATGGAACTTAATGTTTTCCTGTTCATAAATCTCTCTGGGCATGTCTACACTGGGAAATTATTTATTTCTCAATAAATTATTTTGAAAAAATAACTCCCAAAATAACTATTTTTAAATAGCATGTCCTCAAAATTACACTACAGATTATTCTCAAAATTAGTCAGAGGCAGGCTCCCTTTTTTCGAAAAAACTTCCCCTGCATCTAGACTGCTGCCACGTTCTTTCGAAATTAAATTGAAAGAACAGGGCTTTTTTTTTACCATGGTAAACTTCATTTTATAAGGAAGAACACCTTTTTTTGAAAGAGGTCTTTCGAATAAAGGTGTTCTTGAATGCAAACAGGGCTTTTTCAAGAGAGAGCATCCAGACTGCCTGCGTGCTCTCTTTCGAAAATGCGGCTCACTTTTTTGAAAGAAGTGGTTGCTGTCTAGACGCTCTCTTTTGAAAGTGGCTTTTAGTCTAGACGTAGCCTTTATGTGGATGTGCTTCCTCGACTAAGAGCCCCAGAAAACATTGGGAAGTAATTACTTTGAATGATTCTGGGGAGTAGTTATTTTGAAATAGCAGCATGGAGTGTCCACATTACCACTATTTCAAAAGAACTATTTCTCAATAAGTGTTATTCCTTTTGAAAAGTGGGAGTTATTATTTTGAAATAACTGGCCCTTTATTTCTAAATAACAGGCTTGGTAATGTGGACGCTCCACTTGTTATTTTGAAATAAGGAGAGTTATTTCAAAATAATTCCCTAGTGTACACCAGAGCTTTCAGACCTCTGCATGAAAAGCAGTTGATAAAAAGAATTAAGAGTCGAGTGACACCACTGATTAAATTTTTTCATTATAGCTATGTCTTAGATTTGTTACAGATTATTCATATATATTAAGATTTATTTTCGTATTTAGAATTGTATGTCTAGAACCTATTCTATGCAATATAAAGCCACTGATTGGCTGTGAGTCTTGGCTTCCCTATTCCTCCCTCTGCTTTGAATCTCTCTTGCAGCAAATCGGGCATGATGTATTTTTATTTCTGAGCCCTTGTTCTTTTTTAGGGCCGGCGCTGGCATCAAGGCAGTGGATTTTTTGGACGAAACTGGCAACCAGGAGATGTGGTTGGTTGTATGATTAATTTAGATGACAAGTCCATGATCTTTACTCTGAATGGAGAGTTGCTTATAACAAATAAAGGTTCAGAACTTGCCTTTGCTGACTTTGAAATAGATAAGGGTAAGTTGAATCCTATTGTTTTTAAAGATACACTGTAAGAATATGTATATAGGAAACATTAGGAGAAAATTATGTTGTACTACATAAAATGAATCGAGAAGTCTGAAATTGAAGCATTGGAAATGAATCTACCTTTTCTTATTTCATGATTGGGAATTCCTCATGTTCTTGGCCTCCAGCTCTGACAGAGTATCTCAGAGTTTTCAGCTGAGTGAAAAGCAATCACAGAGCTACCCCCAGTGCTGTTGACCAGCTAGTCTTTTGTTGGCCAAATGATTGTGCTGATTCCTTATATGCAAATAGCTCAAGCCTTTTGTTATTTCGGATGATCCAGTGCAGTTATCTGCTAGTACGCTTTTTATGTTGCAGTGTAAAGCCTGAAATTTAATTCAAACAAAATTAACTTATCTGCAAGCCCTTATCTGGAAATAGAAAAATAGGTTTCAAACAACTTACAGTACTGAACCATCCCATTCATAAGTAAAAATGGAAAGAATAACCAACTGCAAATCAGCAATAATAAATAACTAAACTTAGTTAGATAAAATGTTAAAGAAAACATTGTACTCCCAGATTAGGGATTAGTAGGCATAATAATATGAAAAAATAAACTTGAACCACTATGATATTTTATTGTACAACTAAAGCAATTTTTGGTTCAATTGTATGTTCAATTTGTGCCTTTAAACTCTTTACAAAGAGTTATTTTCTATATACATTTCCCAAAATGGCTCTATGATTTGTATGTTAAACAATGAAAATTGTCAATCAAATTACATTACTAATGGTAACATCTTTATTCCAATTTTCACTGAAAAGTGAAGTATGTTGGATCAATATATAGTTAAGAGGGATACTGTCCGTGTTACTAGATTCACAATTTACCTTGAGTACTGAAAATATTATTGTTTTTAAAATTCCTATAATGCGATAGTTCCTAGATCCATTTCTGAAAAATAATGATTACACATAGTAGTAAGGATTTTCAGGATCAGCTTCCAGGTATATATGTATGATAGGGGGAGGGATCAAGAAATACATTACATAAGATTTGTACATATTGATCAAACCGCACGTGCATGATCCAGGAAAGTAAAATATCACTAAGGAATCAGACTTTTGTTTCATGCTTCCAAGAGTTAATATATTGTTAATATTAAGCTAATTAAAATCATACCAGGGTACAATCTATACCAAACAATAGCTGTCTCGCTCCTTCCCCTTGGACGTCAGGCGCGCTTTACAATGTCTTACTGCAGTAGCCTCCAACCTGGACTGGTTACAAATAGCCGCAGGCATGCAAGTCACTCCCAGCTGCGTGTGCTGCAGCCAGCTAGCCACACCAGCCTTAAAGGTTACTGCAAGGTGACCCCAACATGTTTGCAGCCTTAGTTTTCCCTCCAGAAATGTATGTTCTATACTGCCCACCTTTCTCCTAGACTGTACAAATATATTGAATCTGTTATTCCTTTCAGGGAGTAATATGCACACAACTTGTTATCCCAAGAGGAGTTACCCAGGCTCCAACTTCCACACACTGGATTAGATAAAACAATGAAACATGTTTATTAACTACAAATAGAGAGATTTTAAATGAGTACAAATAATTAGGTCTAAAAGTCAGAAATGATTACAAGAAAAATGAAGATAAAATACTTCCCAGTGCCTAACTTAACAAACTATAGTAGATTCAAATCAAAGTTTTCTCACCAAAGGCTTCAGCAGATTGCTGACCACACTCTCAAGTCAGGACCCCTCCTCCAGAGTTCAATGGCTGCTTCTTTTGTCTTTCCAGGTGCAGAGAATGAGATTGACAGGGAGAAAGAAAGGGTTGGCTTGGGGTGTGTGTACCCTGGGTCCGAGTGGAAAATGTTTATCTAGAGGGGGATGAAAAGTATAAAAAGGAGGGGCAGAGTCTATATGAAGGATGTTCCCTGCTGTGGGGTTTTTTTCTGAAATGCCTGCCCCCTTACTTGCCAAGAATAGCCACTTAGTAGGTAATGGTCCATCAGCTTTGTTTATAGCTGTCTCTGGTGTCAGCTTGCTCTTTTTCTCTAAGAAACTGGTTTGGCTGCTCCACAGATTTATCTGGAAAACTTATGTCTATAGCTTCACATTAACACTACGATGTGCACTTTACTGATTAGCAAATTGAGTTTTTAATGATACCTCCCAAGGCATACTTTGTACATACATGTGTACAATAGTGTTTTGGGTGTGAATACTGTGGTATATTCTTTCAGAAAAATACCTTTATACTCTTTTGTTAACTATTTGCTTGCCTTGGTTTGCACAGTTCATGATCACTACCACACATTAAGCCAGACATTAAGCCAATACTAACTGATCAGGACGTGTAGTGGAATGAAAACAGGCCCTGCTCTGTGGAATAGAAGCCAACCCAGCACTGCAGAGTGAGCGTGAGGCAGGCTTGCTATCCAACCAACTGACATATCCTGGCCTCCATCGGAGGTAATTTTTTGGGAAAGGTAGAGGCTTCAATTTCAGATTTTGCCCAGCCCCTCCAAAAAACCTCCAAAGAGTGACACCATCCTAGGAAGACTTCAGGTCTCCCCTTTGCCGAGAGGCACTAGATCCATCCAGTGTCTCTCTTACCTCTTTCCCCTTGTTAGAAATTAGCTTGGTTGCCTCTCCATTTCCTTATGATACCTCTTCTCAATAACCATCTTCATGCGTAAGCAGCAGGATATGTTCTCTGTTACCTCTGGCAGCTTTCTCATAACAGGATATTCCATTTACTTTCAAATCTATCACTCATTTTCATGGATAGCAGAAGTGTTAAGAGTATGATTATTTCCTTCCCTAGGCAGCTTTATTTTGCTGAAAGATACAGCACTTAATTCTGTGATATTTACAGATATTAATCTCTTCCATTTATTTTTAATTCTATACTGGTCTCAGAAATCTTGTCTCAGAGTAGTCATGATATGTGGTGTGTGTGTGTGTGCGTGTGTGTGTGTGTGCGCGCGCGCATCTTCTCCAAATCTTCTCTTATTTTCTAAATCTGTTTCTAGAATTCCCCTGGGGAATTTTTATAGCCAGCTGGATACATGCCCCTTCCCCTATTGGATTGTGGCTTCTGGACACAAATGTCTGTTCCTCCCCTTTCTCTTGTATTTTTATCTCTCTCAGCCACATGCTTATTTAGAAGCTGTTAAGCAAGTGAGGTTTAGACAGGTTCCTATGCTTATTAGAAGCCGTTAAGCAAATGCGGTTTAGACTGTTTCAAATGTGGTTTAAGTAGCTTCCTTTTATGTCAATAGATAACAGAAGATGCTTGCTTAGGAGCTATATTGTTTAACTATATTGTTTAAATAAAATTCATACGAATATGTATGTAATCCATGAATGAATGTGGAAGTGTGAATGAAAAACACCCAAAGATAAGGCAGTCCAGCTTTCTGTGACCTTTTAAGACAAGGAAGGATCCTGCAAGTCTATAAATTAATATAACAAGCAGCCAGGTGGGACTCTCGCTCTCTCACACAAGATGTAACAGCACAGCAGAAACCTGGGACTGGCCCAGATAAAATAAAGCCTCCCGCAGATCCGAAGGGCTCCAGCTCACCCTTTGTCCAGGTTTTTTCCTCAGCAGATCTGAGGAGGTGCAACATTTTTAACTTTCTGTTATTTTTACCACCAGTGGCTACAAAGTTATACAGTTTTGGTTCCCTTTTGTTCTCAGTTTCCCTGGCTGACAGTCTGTTCTTGTCTAGCATTCTCATGGGTGTCCGCATCAACCTGATAAAATGTGTTTTAAAATGACTGGCTGCAGGTACAGACTAAATTTGTTATTCTTTCTTTGGCCCACCAATGAACATTAGTTAGGCAATTGGTCATGGAGAGGCAGATTATTAGAGCCCTGTGCAGATACCAAATTTGTGTCCAGATCCATATGCACAAAAATGAGCCATGGCTATCTGCATCTACTTTCATGGATGCAGATACCTGTGAATTAAAGCAGATATCGACAGGCTTACAGGGCATCACAGATGATGTGAGTAATTTTCCACTGCTCTGGGAGCTCATTTACAGAACTGTACTTAAACAGTAAAAATTAATTATTATAGTCAGCAGTAACTTCTTTCATCCAAAAGGACCTAAAGTCTGAGTTCATTGGCTGTTTATGTAATAGTTTTTTGCTTTCATAAGAGCATGCACAATCTCATGTCAATGGAGATTACATGCATGTGATCAGAGAACAATTTTTTTTACATTTGGGATCATTTCATTCACTATTCATATATGTTGTTCTGCACCAGCTGCAATACACCAATTTTGAGAAGATGAATAGTGACATGACTCCAGTTTATGCATTTTTTTCACCTTCTGACCAATGTTCCCTCTAAGCTTCATGGCAGCACAGATTCACAGGTGATTAATCAGCCCCGCCCAGTCAGTCAGGTCCATACATAGAGCCCTGAGCCTCTGTCTGGGTGGGGCTCAGGGCTCTGATTAATCACCTGTGAAGCTGTGCTGCTGTGCAACTTAGAGGGAACACTTCTTCTGACTGTTTCATGTCAACTTCTCTTTAGGGATGTAAACAAGTAGCCGAGCCTTATCAGTTAATCTTCTGGACTACTCACATTCCCTTCCCCCTTGCTGTCTCTGTATCAGAGGCAGTAAGGTGGGGAAAGCAGTTGCCGGTACTGAGGGGAGCCAGCTTAAAAGCCGGTTTCCCTCAGCACCAGTTATGTGGCACTGCCTATCCCTTCCTCCCCTCCCCCACCTCACAGACAAGAGCTGCAGCTGGACCAGCCACTCTCCACCGCCAGCCTGGACCACAGCTGACACAGGCTGCTTTGTAATAGCTCCCTCCCCCCCACAGCAGCTGTTTTTTTAATTGGGTCACCTTGGGCTCCCACCTGGCACCCCATGCTGTTGCCTCTGATAGAGAGGCAGCAGTGTGGAGTGGCAAGGGGCTCCCTGGAAGTGGGGCTGGGATTGCACTGCCTACTGGCCCCACTTCTGGGGACTATGGAATAGTCAAGTAACCAATAAAAATTCATGCGGTTCCCCGACTATTCAGTTACCTGATATCTAACATCCCTTCTTCTCATTTATCTGGACTCTACATGGTTCATTTAAAAATAATCCTTCTTCTCCCTCACACTTTATAGAGCAACAGTTATTAAATGGATCAGTCAAAGAGGACCCAAGTGGCATTTTTTATTATACTTTCTCGTGTTTATTGCCATTTCCCCCAAAACGCTTTGCAGTAGGGTTTTTTTTTAATCTATTTACTTAACAGAGGAAACCTGCATGGATTCCAACTGAAAATTCCAATGAAAAGAGAGAAGGTTTTTGGTTATGTTTTTTTTAAGTCCGAATACTATATAATTTGGTGATCAAAGATCCTGAGACTCAGATGACTTTGACTTAAGCTTTTGGGAGCTAAGCTTCTTTTTACTGTGTTTCTGTTGAACTGAACTGTTCAGATTTTATTTTTTATTTATTTATGTTTTATGTGTAATTGTGATGATAATGTCTGTGGATTATAAAATAGTCAAATTTATGTTGTAAAAAATAAATTGTTTAATTATCATAAGATATAATAAAGTTTTTTAATTAAATTTATTTCTTTAGTTCCTTTTGACACTAGAGTGTGAGGAGGCAGACCTTGTGCAATCCTTGCTAAAAAAAAAAAAAGCCTTAGATAGTGAATTCTGAGTCTCCATTTATTTTTCTATGGAAGTTGCGGGGCGGGGGGGAGGGAGGTTTAGGAACTGGAGAAGGGCAATTAAGTGAATTCTAGCTCACGCAAAGCTTTCAAAAGTCTCTTACTATTATATAATCTCTTATCTCATTTTTCCAAATTTCCTGATAAACTGATATTTCATTTTGTTCAATTCTAAACCAGTTATTAATACAAAAGTTTAAAAGGTAAACAAATTTAATTGGGGTTTTGATCTGTGAAGAATAATAAGATTTATATGTAGGTCAGAATATTGGTGATTTTAAAAGATGTTTGGTGTTTAAAAGAATGCTTGTGGAGAGAACATTAAACCATGTATATTCTTTTATATACATTCTAAATATGTGTAAAATTAAATTGATACCTAAAATAGCTGGCTGTTTTAGGTGTTTACTCTATTGTGCAATTGATAATAGTGAACTTGAATACCATGGAAAATTCTTTGGTGAGTGGACTTTCTGCACTCCTGTACTCAGCACCTACAGGGATCCATCTCATCCCTACGGAAAGCACCCTTGGAGCTGAGTGGCCTCCCACCTCTTTATTGGGCCTGGCACCTTGGAGAGAAGCGTCAGGGTTTATGTGGACGGGAGGAGCTAACAGTCTCAAGGAGCTGTGGCGATCATTTATATTTTTATAAAAAGAACTAACAACGCTTTGTAGAGGGGAGGTTAGAGATAACCTCTAGAGAAGACAGGGAAATAAACAAGAACATAAATATACGTAAAGTCCAGGGTAACTTCCTCTGAAGAGGAATCATGGGGTTATGGTTTAATAGGGAATTTTTAAAAAGATAATTAATTTTTTAAAATGTATATGATCCAGAGTCATCAAATTGAATGTTATTTGCCTATGCAAATACCTTTCTTTTATTACCATTGCATTCATTTCCCCTCCCCATTTCACTTTTATTTATTGTTTGTTACACTCCCTTCTTATATCTTGTTTTCGGTAAACTCTTTGGGGGCAACAAGCCATGTCTACCTATTAACTTGTACTGTGTCTGGCACAAGGAAGCCATGGGATCTTGGTGCATTGCTGTGCATGAGCAAGTTCATGTGTATTATGGAGACCTTGTAAAGATCTTCACACTCTTAATATCACAGCACTCCTCTTGTGTGCATTAGAAGCTTTGTAGGAGCTCACAGGCCTTCTCATCTTTCTATTTTCCCCTGATCCATAGGCTCTGAGTCTCGTGGGCTTGATACACTTATCAGAGGGAGGGTTGCTAGTTTGGGAAAACATGATACTTATAATAATTACATT